AGAGGGCGTGACACTGATTTAAACCAAAAGAGAAACGGATGACAAGGAGGACGAGAGTCATACGAAGCAAAACCAAAACGTCTGACGAGAGAATCTTAGCCTGACACCTGCTCAGCTCAGTGTGTGTGTGTGAGTGTGTGTGTTTTACTGTTCCTGTGTGAGCAGGTGTGACTTTGATGGCACTGTGAGCGATGCCTCACACGCAGCGACAGCAGGTTTGCAGTTGGGGGCAGCGCTCCTCCCTCCTCCTCCCCCTGGTCCTCACCCTCCTCTCCCTCTCAGCCCGGCCCAGCCGAGCAGCCTTACAGATCCCTGCCGACTGTGAGTACTGATTGATATCACAACGTTCATAACAATACCCCAGCACTGCGATGAGGTTCAAAGATCTATTTGTTGTGTTAATGACGCTGTTGATTCATCAAAGCACCGTAATAATGATCTTTAATCACGATTAATTAGTGAAAATAAGCAGTATGAACACGTGCTCCCTCCGTTTCTAGTGAAACTGAGGCCTTTCATGCACCAGATGCTATTGCCACAGGTTTGAGCCTATAGTGTGTCTAATTACCGTGTAACTGATCCCCTCTTATTGCATCGATCAGCCTCCTTATTGATTCAGTTTCCTTGGTGAGAATCAAAATCTGGCTGAGGAGAATTAAATCAACAACTCAGTTATACAACAAAACTCCAATGACTTTTTTTTCTTTCTCCTCACTCAATCTCATTTCTTCCACCTCCTCGATGCAATATGTGGGCATTAAAAATACAGCTGAGCTTGTGGCCTGCAGGGAAATACATCTTCATCTCCTCTGCTGCAGCTGCCCACAGAGCTCCAGAAGAGGGAAGGAGAATATTGTTTCCTCTGCTGCTTTTATTATCTGCTCTTTATCTAACGCTTTGTCTGCACCACGCCACTAACGCGTGTTTTGACTAAGTGCAATCCTCCAGACAGAAGGCTCCTAAAGCTGGAAAATCATTCAAACGGTCAAATTTCTCACCCGAATCCCAAAGGGGCAGGGTGACAGAGGTGAAAAGGTCAGGCAGGAGGAAGGGAGGGTGATGAGGAGGAGAGGGTCAGAGGTGGCAATGGGAAAGGTCAAGGTGTCCTTTGCCTGTAAATTAGGGAGCCTCTGAAATGTCGATTAGAGGTACAGAGATCAGGATCGATAAAATACTCAAAACCCAGGAACTCTACATCTTTAAATCTTCCTATCTGAAATATTTTTCCTCATTTGCCTCCCCCTGGCTGCCATGTGGACCACCAGACCACATAGGTAAGTGCTTTTAACTTTATTGATGTTTGTCTCATACTAAAGAACCACAAACACTTTCTTGATGAGGTTTTTTCCCTTCCTTCTGACATTAAAATCCTCTCAGCACAGTGACTAAACATATATGTAGCATCAGTGTGCATTAGCCTGTTGTCCACGGGAGGGTGGGGTGTTTAGCCTCAGTGCCTCTGGAGGAGCAGAGGAGAGAGCTGGAGGAGTTGCTGGAGGCTGTCAGATCAAAGACAGAAGGAAAATAAAGAGGAGTTAAAGCTCAAAGCACCAGCTCTTCTCATCTTTCCCTTCCAATAACGGAGCAGCGCCCGCAGCCTAAACCTCAATCTGATCAGCTGGAGGAAAATCAGCTTATTTCCTTTATAAATGGGATTTGTTTTTCATTAAATTCCTTCACTCCCCCAATCACTCTTCCTGAATGGACTTTTTGTGTGGTTTACTTGTCTATCTTCCAATCTTTTTCTCTGCGCCTCTCCTCCTTTCGCTGCACCTTCATCACACTTGTCTGTTCAGCTCTTCCTCTTCAGCCTCCTCCTCCTCTTGTCCTCTTATCCCGCCTTTACACACTTACCTAGATACTTCATCCCTCATCCGTCTCTTTTCCTTTGCGTCACATTAAGTACCTAGCTCTGTGCACAATGACAGTTAAGTTCCCAACATTACATAAAAGTGTTAGATGTTGTTGTGACTCTTCCTGGCTCCTGCAGACGGAGAAGACTTTACATTTTCTTTATTATGTCTGCTAACTCTTGCCTCTCTTGGTCTCACGGGGCGAGCTGCGCCAGATTTCTATTCTTTACACAAACTCTCTGTCTTGCATCATCAATTTCCCCTCATCTCCAGCCCTCTTCTCCCTCTCTCCTCCTCATCTCTCCGTTTGTGGAGCCTGTTTAAGTGATATCGACTGAATTATCAGCCGCTGGTAAGCTGAGAGTTTCTCGTACCTCTGGTTTTGTTCTGCGCTGTTTGTGGAGTTTTTTGAAGCAGCCGCAGCAGTTCAGGTGTTCAGAATCATAGCAGCACGCACTGCAAAAGCAGTTCATGTGAATTCACTGGTGTGTGTGTCAAAAGCAGTGTTTTCATGCACTTCCTGGCCATGGCGTTGTGAACGTATGTTGCAACTTTCCTTTTTGATCCATGCAGACAAGAAGCCTCCAGAGATCACCAAACAGCCGGTGTCTGTTACCGTCTTCGCCGTGGAGGACTTCTCTATGAGCTGTGGAGCTTCTGGCAGCCCTCCACCCATGTTAGTCATCACACACACACACACACACACACACACACACACACACACACACACACACACACACACACACACACACACACACACACACACACACACACAGACTAGCAGAATACACACCAGTTTGAGGGTATTGCATTAGTTCTAGATCTTTTCAGATGAAATAGTCACCTTCCCTGTCCTTGTACGACTCACATCTGCATATTAGTATTACACGAGAGCACAGCGTCTCCCGGACAGAGTTCTTGTTTCAACAGGGGATAAATGTCATTAGGCCCTCGGGGAATCTCCCTTTTTGGTGTCTTAGCTGCTCTGAAGTGTAAAACCACTCCAGTTGCCAGTGGAAAGACGAACGCCGCAATTACTCAGCACAAGCTTCTGACTCCCGATGGGGGAACTAGTGCAAATTTTACAACAATCCATTTGTGCTCTCAAATGAAGTGACATCGAATGCAAATTCGAGATGATCCTCAGACGCACAGAAGTGAGTGTGTGACTTTGATGTCTGAATGATGTTTAATCGTCTCTGTTTGCCTTGAAAGTTTCCGATGGACGAAGGACGGAGAGGAGTTTGACCCAGGCACGGACCCGGAGCTGAAGGTTTCAGAGAGCGTGGACTCATTTTCATTCTCTACACTCAGTAATAGCATGGACACCCTGAAGCAGTACCAAGGCAAATATGTCTGCTACGCGTCCAATGAGCTGGGGACGGCCATGTCTAAGGAGGCTGTACTGAAAACTGATGGTGAGGGAAAACGCCGACCAGCTGTCCACACGCAGATCAAAACGTTCTCAGGTCGTTTAGCGTGAAATATCTCGGCTTTTGCTTTCAGCAAGAGAAAAAAAAGACATTCTCTGATTTGTCATCAGATTATTTAAATGATCTCCCATAAATGTCAGTTTAGAGAATCTAAAGTAAATGTCTCGACTAAACACTAAAGGTGAAGCTTCTCTTTATTTATAGAGCTCATACACAACTCATGACTCGTTTGAAAAACTCTAAAATCAGCAGATAAACAAGCCCTGAGCAGAGGGAAGGAGTACCTTTGATTATCAGTTCACCTGTGTGACTGTCTCTCTCTCCTGGGCGACCTCCTTCCCTCTCTGTTTCCCTGACAACGGTTTCCGCAGTAACACTCTTGAGTTGATGTCACGTGAACCGTTCTTCAGTGGATCCTGTGGAGCTATCAGCAACAGGAGGGAAGGAGAGAGACGTGGCTCACAAATCATGTCTTTTCCATCTTTGCAAGACTAAATACAAGCCGGCATCTTCTTTAAGAGCTCCTGAGATGGAAATGTGGAAATAACGCTCCCCATCTGTTCTAGTGTGTGTGTGTGTGTGTTTATGATGGGTTGGGGAGCGCCTTGGGAAATCTCCCTGAGTGTTTGCTGATCACCTGTTTCTTTTCTGTGTAGTCCCTCCATCCCAGCAGAAAGAAAAAACCATCACCCATAGGGCTGAGCAGGGGAACAGTTTTGTTCTGCAGTGCGACCCCCCACAGAGCTCTATGGAGCCCATCATTCACTGGATGGACATGCGTAAGTGCATCACCACTGCTTCTGTTTTTCACCTTCTCTTCAATAAACGGTCCTGTTGTTGTTTTCATTCATCATAATAGAGAGAAAATACCTAATATGCAGCATATTTTTTAAATATTTGAACCTGTTAACGCAGTGCATGGGTTTTCTTGTTATCCTCTTAGACCTGGTTGACTGGATGAATACAAAGACTTCATTATTTCACATCTGCACCTTCAATAATCAGTCCCTTTTGAACAATGTTCTGCTGAGCTGTGGTACCCTCATGGAGGGGGCCATCGTCATAAACAATGTTGCTAACCATTTAATCATTCTCCCTCTCCTGATAATAACATTTTACTTTCTTTGACATTGGATGTGCTACTACTAGTTTACCAGTTTAATTATAGATTCACTAGGATAAATACAATAAAGTTTATCTCTCACCAAATAGAATATTTACTAAGGAATCACAATGTAACCATAGAAACATTACTTGGTATATATGTTGTGTGTGTGTGTGTGTGTGCGTGTGTGCATGTGTGTGTGTGTGTGTGTGTGTGTGTGTGTGCGTGTGCGTGTGCGTGTGTGTGTGCTCTGTCTTTTCCATCCCCAGTGAGTCGTGGAGGATGGCTGCTTATACTGAGCCAGGATCCTCTGGAGGTTTCTTCCTGTTAAAAGGGAGTTTTCCTCTCCACTGTCACTAAATGCTTGCTTAGTATGAGGATTGCTGTATAGTTGATGCAATTTGCTGGGTTCCTTATATAGGAAACTTTTTTTCTGATTGGCTTAATGAACTGACCTGAATTAGAATGTTTATTATGTGAAGTGCCTTGAGACGACTCTTGTCATGATTTGGCGCTATATAAATAAACTTGAATTGAATTTAATTGAACATATTTCATTCTTCCAGGGCTTCGTCACATCCAGCTCGACAAGCGGGTGGTGGTGGGAAAGGACGGCAGCCTGTACTTTGCTCATTTGACACTAGAAGACAACAGGAATGACTACACCTGCAACGTCCAGTACCTGGCCACACGTACAATCTTTGCAAAAGAGCCCATCACTCTGATAGTCAACCCCTGTGAGTTTTACTCATGATCAGCTCAGTTCAGCATCAGACCTCCCCTTTTATACCCACTTGATGTGTTTTAAATGTTTCTTTTTAAAACAAAAACTGTTAAAAATTCAGGCAGCAAGTGAAGACTCAGAGCATGTGTAAGTGAGCAAAATCATCAGTTAAAATATAAATGATTTCAGATTAGCTGTCCAACTGATTAAGAAGTAACAAAACAAAACCAAACAACAGCTTGTTTTCTGATGTCAGCTTACTTTCAATGATTTAGAAAGACACACAGAGTACCTAGATTGGCTCTTCCACCTTTTTATAATTAGAAGTTTTAACTTAGAGAAACTGTCTTGATGTGTCAGATTTAGAAGGTTAAAGGGACACTAAACAGTTTTGGATTGCTCTTAGCATCCCCTAGTGTTAATTAATGAAAGCAAAAGTGAAACTTTTCTCCTCAATGTGTGTTCGTCTTTTTAATATGTATTTATTTAACTTTTGAGGATGTAAACTGCTTGAGATGCAACGTCTAATTTTCCAGTGGATCCTCAAAATCAACAACAAAGTAGCTAATAACACAGCAGAGTCATTAAATAATCCCAAATTCACGATTACAAAAAACAAAACAAAAAAACAAAAACAAAGAAGGATAAAACAAGATCCTGCTAAACTATGGTTCACGATAATTGTAACTAAGGCAATAAAAGTAACTTAGACATGCATATAATGATTTTTCAAACATTTCTTTCAGAAGCCTAAATTCTAATCATTCTCATCCTAAATTCAGCAACTTTATGTAAGCACATATTTTTACGGTTTTTATTTAAATATAATAAAACGAAAACAATGCTGTTCTGATAGTGAATGGGGTACAGGTGTATTAGTGAGGGCTGCATTCCATGTTATCTCTACTACTTCAGGTCAGATTTTCTGTTCAAACAGGCCTATAAATCCAGTTTTCGTACCCCGTGTTGATGAGATGAATTGGTTTGGTCCGTTTTTGTGGATATGACAGTATTGGAATCTTAGAAGCAGAGCTGGACACAACAATAGGTGATGTGTATTTACAACAAGGTGCTTGTTTGTCCTGGACATTAAATCTGCAGCAACATAAGGGTGTAATCTGGATTCACGTCACTATCGACAGCGGTAGTTTGACTTTTACTACCTCTGTCTCCACGGGTAGGGGTATAAACACATCATTTTCACGGTGCTAGTTCTTTCATCTTTATTCCTAGCATTAACAAAGTATGCATGTGAATTTTTTTGTGTATCAAGGTGCAATCTGCAGCATGCTATCTGTAATGGCACCATGTAACGGCATGTTTGCCAACAAAAGCAGTGACTGAAACCTGAGCACCCCCCTCAGTCTATAGGGGTCTGTGCCTTCTCAGTCCAGCTGTAATGAGAAGCAGCTCACAGTGAGAAGCTAGCTGCCCCAAGCATCTGTGGCTCAACTCGAGGTCAGAATGATGAACAACTGTTAACATGAGACCTCTGTGTGTCTTGTGTAACTGCCTCTATCGCCACAGCTTGCTGCATCGCTCTGTGTGGGCGAGTCAGTCTCTAAAGTGGCTGCTGTGTCAGCAGTACAGCAATCTGAAAATTACCCATCCATATGTATGAGTCTCTCCCTTTAATACACTTCCTCCCCTCTTTGTCCAGCCAACTCGGTGGTGCGGAACCGGAGACCAGCCATGATGAGGCCTACTGGAAGCAGCAGCGTGTACCACGCCCTCAGGGATGACACCATAGAGCTTGAGTGCATCGTCAACGGCCTGTGAGTATCTGAGTGTGCGTTTCACTCATGTGCACCTCTCCAATAATCTTTTACATTTTACGTATGTTTTTACCCTCCTTGCATTCCTCCTCTTCAGTCCAACTCCTGAAATTAAGTGGTTGAAGAAGAACGGTGAGCTGCCGGAATCGCGGGCCAAAAGGGAAATGTTTGATCGCCGCCTGCAGCTCATTAATATCACAGAAAGTGATAGTGGGGAGTACCAGTGCATAGCTCAGAACTCCCAGGGGAAGGTCACGCACACGTACATGCTGACTGTGGAAGGTACGCACAAATCATTTCTACTTGTAAATACATTGAAATAAACATTTTACAATCAAATGCTTTTTGATTATATGTGAAATAATGATCAGCCTCATACAATCAAAAACCAACATATGGAAAGCTGCCCAGAGAGCACGTCTGACACATGAAATAATAGGAATATTTTCAATAAACTGTTTATTGGCCAATGTTAGTACGCCAATTATATAATCATCTGTTGCATTTTTTATATAATTTTGGTCATGCGCTGAACTTTTGCTAGAAGGCAGAGGACGTAAATAGATGTATGAGATTTGATTTGATTGTAAAAAAAATAAACACAAAATTACTGTAACTTGTTTTGAGTTGTAAAATTTAAGTAGAACAGAATCTCAAAATCCTCAAATAATTTACTTAAAGGTGTGAAACATTGAAAATTTTTTAATCTAATTTATGATTAAAATCAGTCCCTCTGACTTTAACATGCAGTCTGAACATGAAAATAGTCTCCTACACCTATCTCCTGCATTAGCTTCTGACAGAAAAGGTGAAACTCTAGGATTTGAAAACTTGACAGATCTACGTTACACTGTCACTTAACATTCATGGACTCACCCATCTTGACTCACAACAGGGAAGGTTGTTACTAGTAGAAGCTAACCATTAGCATTAGCAACTCCACCACACAGCAGAACTCCTCCAGACTGGAGTTATATTTGGAGATAAAACATCCATGTTGCAGAGCAAACTGAGTCAGTGGTCGGGCCATGTTGCTGTTAGTCAATCAGAGGCGAGATGTCCAAATATCAGGAAATAAGGCTCCAAATCCTGTTGCTCACTTCTAGTTCCTGAAAGTGGTGCACCAGAGCTTAATTTTCCCAGAGTACATTTTACAAGGTATTCATACTAGAAACCACTGCAAATGTATTGATTGAATGTGTTCCACACCTTTAAATCAAATAAAAAGTATAAAGACAGCAAACTAAATGATGTAAAGTTTGGACATGGGCGTTTTTGCACCTTGGTGCATCATCTTTAACCCTCCCACTGTCCTAATGGGTGTGACCCCACGAGGAAAGTTGACCATTGAGCAGGATTGATGGTTTATCCCTTGAGGTCCACGTGGCAGGGGTGAGGTGTGAGCACCACATCACCTCTGCCACGTGGACCTCAAGGGATAAACCATCAATCCTGCTCAATGGTCAACTTTCCTCGTGGGGTCACACCCATTAGGACAGTGGGAGGGTTAAAACTTCTGTTTGGGTTTGGAAAGCAAAAATAATGTCTCATAAGAGCTTGTTTTAAAAGATTTTATCAGCTTGACAGTTTGGATCTTTTTTGTGATGCAAAATGTTTTCAGATGTTGAAAGGTGATATTAAAAATGGACATCTGTCCTTTGTAGCTTCTCCATATTGGAAAAGGGTACCAGAGAGTCAGATATACGCCCCAGGTGAGAATGTCAGGTTAGACTGTGAAGCAAAAGGCACCCCCACTCCTGTTATGAGCTGGACCATCAACGGGACGCCCCTCTCAGGTCAGAACACAAACCCTGCTGGCTTGGTTTTAACACACATTCCTGGGCAGTCTCAGTGAACTGAGGGCATGTAACTCTTTAACAGCGACTGATAAGGAACCAAGACGTTCTGTGACAGGCAACACATCACTGATCCTTAAGGATGTCATCTTTGGAGACACTGCCATCTACCAGTGCCAGGCCTCCAACAAACACGGAACTATCCTCACCAACACCTACGTCTACGTCATCGGTGAGCGTTTCTTGTCCACACAACAGCATTTAGTGTATTTGAGTTTTTGTAAACTTGCGTGTTGTTTCTATTTCAGAGCTGCCCCCTCAGATCCTGACTGAAGACAGGAAACTGTACCAAGTCACCGAAGGCCAGAGTGTTCAGATGGACTGTGAGACCTTTGGCTCTCCTAAACCTAAAGTCATGTGGTGAGAAGGATTTCACTTTCCATCTGCTCTTTGGCAGATTTTCAAATTCTGTCTCACAAAGCCAACGCGATTGCGTAGGTAGCTCGTTGTATGCATAAATTATCCACCAAATGCTGTTACATCTGCGCTGTGAAACGTTGTTTAGGCGACTGTCCAAAAAGGTTTTGTTTGTTATGTAAAACAGGAGAAAATAACATTCATACTAGATTGTTTAATTTCTGAAAAGCTTATTTTTGCTCTCAGCTTGCCAAGGTTTTGACGTTTTCATGTGTCTTTTTCAGGGACAGAGAGACATCGTCCCTCCTGGCAGATCCCAGAGTTAACCTGCTCACCAGTGGAGAGCTACAGATCTTTGACGTTACCCACGACGATAAAGGTTTCTACACCTGCTCGGTGCAGAACCACAACTTGTCCATCAGCTCTGAGCTGCAGGTGTTCAGTGAGTGACACACACACACACACACACACACACACACACACACACACACACACACACACACACACACACACACACACGTCAGATTCATGTCACTGCACCTTCTGCTTCTTGTCTTGTGCTTTTATATATCTCTGTTTCCCCTTGCAGACAAGACAGTGATTGTGACACCACCCAAGGATCTGAAGGTGCAGCCAGGGAACACAGCAGTCTTCACATGTGTGGAATTTCATGATATCGGCCTGGACGATCCCATCATCCAGTGGAGGAAGAACAAAAAGAAGCTGTTTGAATCCCCCAGCGATGAAAAGTGAGACGCTTTGTGACAAGGATCTGATCATAATGTGCCCATCGTAGTTTCTTGGATCATCTAAAGTGCACGTTAAATCAGCTTCAGCTCAGCAAAGGACACGCCTTTTATCATGATTTCATCTCTTCTTGCACATTTCATTGCTGACAAAAGCATGAAGGTGCTCGATGAGATGATGAGGAAGAGGAGAAGATATTAATTATATCTTAAGAGATGAAGACAGATTATAAGATCTTTTATTTTCTCAGATACACATTCGAAGGGCCGGAGTTCATGATAGCTAATGTGGAACCAGAAGATGAGGGCGTCTACACCTGTGAGGTCATCACTAATCTGGACAAGGCTGACGCCAGCGCCACCCTCTCTTTATATGGTAAAGTCACCAACCTCAGACAGAAAACACTACAGACGTAGATCACACACACACACACACACACACACACACACACACACACACACACACACACACACACACACACACACACAATTTTTTTGTCATTTCAAACGGTATTTGGTGTTCCCGTCAGACCGACCAGATCCTCCAAGCCTCCTCCAGATCTCTGATCCGGTGCAGAGAGCTGTCACTCTCAGCTGGACTCCCGGAGACAACCACAACAGCCTTGTCCAAGGTTCCGTACAGACCAACACCCTCACGTTTGAGATCCTAATTCTGAGGTTTGGTGCTGCTGATTTGATCTCACCTGTTACTCTTAAATCCTTCAACCAGAGTACGTGGTGGAATTTGAGGACCAGCGTTTCAGAGAGAAGGGATGGGAGGAGCTACAGCGAGTAAAAGGAAATCAGGAACATGCCCTCCTCTCCCTGTGGCCTTACATGTCTTACCGCTTCCGGGTCATCGCCATCAACGAAGTGGGCAAGAGCAACCCCAGCAAGCCATCTGAAATCCACAACACACCTGCTGAAGGTAAACACCTGAAGCTTGCAACAAAAAGCTGTCAAAACCAAACCAAACTCTAAACTGTCTTGTTTACCTAAAACAGCTCCCGACAACAACCCTGAAGATGTCAGGAGTGAGTCCTCAGACCCGAACAATCTGGTCATCGCCTGGGAGGTATGCCCGGCTCCGCGGATGTTTGAAACTACCTAAAATAATCATTTTGAAGATGATTTGTGTTTTCACACCTGCTTCTTTCAATTGCAGAAAATAGACTACCGAAACTTTAATGGACCTGAGTTTAAGTACAAGGTGCAGTGGAGGCGAGTGCTGGGCAGCGGGCCTAAGTGGCACGAGAGCAACACAACAGCACCACCACTGATTGTCAACGATGTTGGCGATTTTTCTGCCTTTGAAATTAAGGTTCAGGCTATCAACGAGGTCGGCGAAGGGCCTGAGCCAGATCCAGTCATTGGATACTCAGGAGAAGATGGTAAGTTATGTTCTCCAGCTACTTGCTTTTGTTTAAATGTGAATGTTCGTGTGTCATTCTCTCGTCTGTCACCTTTCTTTGTGTCTCAGTTCCTCTCGAGGCTCCGATGGATGTGGGCATTGAGCTAATAAACAGCACTACCATCAAAGTGAGCTGGGCAGCTGTGGACAGAGAGACGGTCAGAGGCCACCTGATGGGATACAAGGTGCTGTTCCTGCATCTTCTTGTTTACATTTTTTATTTAATCTCCGGGACTAACAGTTATGGTTCTCATTTTTTCGCTGCACCAGATTTATGTGACCAGGAGAGGCTCCAGGGGTCACCACCGAGGCCGGAGGTCCAGGGAGTTTGAGAGCACCATGATAGAGGAGACTGGGCCCAACGACGAGAAGAAAGTCATCAGTAACCTTAGACCGTACTCCCACTATGAGCTGGCTATCACTGTGTTCAACAAAAAGGGAGAGGGTCCCCGGTCTGAGCCGATGGACTTCGAAACTCAAGAGGGAGGTGAGAATAAGGGATGGGGACCTGGTAAAACCATAGGAGAAGTTTGCATAAAAGAGGGTTGTGAAAGTGCTTTTATGATAGGATTTATTAAACGTCCATGTTGCTGCTAGAACCTGGTCCTCCCACATCCCTGATCCTGGACAGCCCCTCGGAGACCAACATGACCCTGCACTGGACACCTCCTGCTCATCCCAATGGAATCCTTATTGGATATTTACTTCAGTACCAGCGGAGTAAGCACTGCTTCACTCTCATTCATCCCCTATGAGCTTTATTTATGACTCATGTTGTGAATTGGCACCATATAAATAATCTGAATTGAATTGAAATTGAAATGTAGACAATAGTCTTTCTAAACCAATACGACTATAAAAAGTTGAGTTGAGAATGAGACAGTGACTGAATGTTTTTGGGCTCTGTTGTGGTCAGTTACAGAGAACGACGACAGCCCCATGCAGGTGGAGAAGTTAGATGACCCCACGGTGACCCACTTTACCCTGACGAACCTGGATCGTCACAGCGAATACCAGTTTTATGTGAGGGGGCGCACTAACGCCGGGGATGGAGAGCCCATTAAGATGAGGGGGGCCACCACACTGGATGGAGGTATTACTTTGCTTTATGACCAATATGACACTCTTGGGTGTTTGTGCTACTTAAACATAATTTGTTTTGAATATATTACAGAAACTCCGAAGGATGTCAGCATATCAGTGGGGGAAAACTTGGTAAATGTCAGCTGGGTTGCCAAGAAGAGACACAAGAATATTGGTTTCTACATCCACTACAAAAAGAATGGTATGATTTAGGATGATATGAATTTAAGTAGTGTACAAAAGCCTTTGACAGATGGTACATCATGGTACATAGAAACTAAATTAAAGTAGATGAACTATGACAGAAAAACATAACCATGTTAGCTGCAATCAAAACTAAAGCTAGTTGTTTTCTGTGAGCATGCCAGTCTCTCCTGTTATTATGAATAAACTTTGGCTCACTCACGTTCACAACATTGCTTCAGTTCATTAAGGTTTGAAGGCAGGTGTATTTTTTTGGTTTAAATGTACGGCTTGTTTAAAGGTGCAACGTGTAAGAATAAAGCACGATTTTCTACAGCAAAATAATCCCAAAACAGTCTCATGTCTCAGTCATGTTAGAAGGAAGGTTGTACTGAAACATATTTCATTCTTAGCTGTGGGGATTGTGAGTTTTTCTCCTTTCAAAATTAAGTAAAGAGGGAGATAGCTACTGTTTATTAGTGTGAGGTTGCCATTTTTCCTGCAAGCTAACGCTGCAGCACCGACATTTGTAACTCCACTACGGCCCCTAAGAAGTCACCGCATCTTCTTGTTTTACTCTAATATTGGGTAAAGAAGGCTAGATGCTTCAAATGTAGCAACAATAAGCTAACAATGCTAACAATGAATTAAAAGCAAATTGTTCTAAAAATATCTCAAGCTACTTTTCCAATAGTTTGATATGTGTGAAGGGAATAATGAGTCAAACGAGCCGTTTTACATTCTTAAATTTGTCATTCAGCAATAACAGCAACCTACCGGCAGGCAGATGGTTAAAAAAAACACTACCTCATATTACCGTAATAAGTGAAGTAAGTGCTCCCTATCGTAAAACACCCAAAAGTGCTAACACCCACTATGACAATGTTTTTATCTACTTATCAACTTACTGTGTCTGACTCATCTTTGCTTGATATCTAGAATCTTCTGGTGCTTATCAGTAACGAGCAACAGCCACGAAACAGGAGAGAGAAAGAGATTGCAGAAACCAAATTTGACCACAGGATGTCATCTTACTTTATTCTTACACACTTCACCTTTAAGGATCATTGTCCTGTTTTGTGACCCAGGTCTTAACCCCTTAAGCCCTAGGTCTATTTTGAAGCCTATTCCTCAAAAAATGGTAAAAATGGTGTTTAATGGTAAAATAGTTTAGGTAGCCTTGTGGTGCTGGGTTTGCTGATTAATTTGATGGGAATTAATACTATTTCTTCTGTAGTGTGAGGGTTATTTTGGGCCTGTTAAGGAACTAATGTCACAGGGTCCCCCACCTGGGGGACCTTATAACTTTTCTCTTTGCTATTATGTTAACACACACTTGTATGCTCCAGACCTGCAAACTGACAACAACAGAGGTAGTCACAATGTTGAGTAACTAGCTGCTACCTTCCCTCTAAACTTCTTTATTACCAGTCAGGGTGGACTCTGTGTTCCATGTTCCCTTTGATTTTTTAAATAAAGAATGCCATGTTGGAATTTTCTGTGATTTTTTGTTTTTGAGACTAGACTGGAATGATTTTGCAACCTGCTAAGGACCAAACGATAAACTAAAGTTTATCTGCTTGTGCAGATGGAGGTAAATGGAAGACATCGGAGAAGGTGAACTACTCTCAGTCTTTCTACCAGCTGCAGGGTTTGAGTCCTGGCTCTCATTATGACCTACGCTTCATCCACGGCAACGCCACATTCCAAAAAATGACAATCAACACATCAGGAACAGGTAGCTCTTCTGTGTGTTCTTGTTTCTTTTGTCTGCATTGCTTTTCCCATTGGGTTTCCACATCTAAATATAATATACAATCCTAAAGAGAGGCTGCTTTGCTGGTTTTTCTTCTCACCTGCAAAGTGCTTTCAAGATAGTGAGGAGAGCTTGGTTAGCCTTATGAAGTGATCTTTTGTATATGTGTGAAAAGCCACCTTGTCAGAAGCATAATGCGCCTTCTCGTGTGCTCTAGATTTTGCTCTAGTTTATCTTCTACCATCATTTCAACTCTTATATTTCCATCCTGATTTAATCTGACAACTGCAAAGAAAGCCGTCTCATCTCTTTCTGCCCCCCACCTATGTTTTTCTTCTCTCTCAAAGAAGTGACAGAGGTGCAGCAGAGCATTGTGACACAGGGCTGGTTCATCAGTGTGGTGAGCGTCATTGTGCTGTTGGTGCTGATCATGCTCATCTTTTGCTTCATTAAGAGGAGTAAAGGAGGGAAATACTCAGGCAAGTAGACTCAAACACAACCTTTCACAAAGGCATCATGAAATCTGATGATTTAAACAACTGTTTTCCATATATTTTAAATGCATAATATAATTCATTCTCCTTTCAGAAGCTTTGAGTAACACATTTCAGTCACGAGCGTATAAAGTATCTAGTTCAGTGGGTTGACTTTTTTTTTAACTGGATTAAAAAAATGCTCTGGAAACATTTGATTCAACTCGATAATCCTCCCCGGTTCCACTTCCCCAGTAATTGTCAGACTCCAGTAAGCCTACACGCTTTCACAGCACATGTAGTGTGACAGACCTACAGTAAAAGCTTGCTTTTCCTCACCTCGCACCTTGTCACAAAGAAGGAAAGGAGCTGTGTAAAAATAATCATGAAACATTAAAGTTGCAGCCACATACTGAGGCAAAAACACACCAGACTGCAGCTCCTCGTGTGGAAAAGACAAGACGCTGGCTCTGCCTGTGAGGAATGGATGGATTAACCCTCTCAGGCCCAAAATAAGTTTTGATAAAAGGACGAACAACTAAGTCCTTCAGGGGTACTTCTGAGATAAAAAATGCTCATGAAATACGTATGTGGAGTAACCAGGTAGGTAGGTTTTAATGTTGCAAATCTGCAACGCCTGCCTCCAGAGGGTTAATTTGACCAGATGCAATAAATTAAAAATATATCAAGCTTTTGGAAGTTGAATAGCAAATCTTTATTGATGGTGACACAACAAAATGACTCCAAGTCCAGATACAGATCAGATGATCCTGATCTTTTGGATGTAATCTTTCTGTTCGACAGAAGGGTTTATTGATCCTCGAGACAGACACTGTTAGAGACACATGTGAAGATCTTAGCGATAATGAAATTTGATGATCTGTCTCCTCAGTGAAAGATAAAGAAGACGGTCCGATGGACTCAGAAGCACGACCGATGAAGGATGAAACCTTTGGAGAGTACAGGTTTGCCATCTTTAATTTGACTTTGATTTTATGGAATGTTTTAAATCCCTAACAGACCAGATCTCCTCCCAGCACTGTTCAGTTTTCCTAATCCCTCTTGTTCATTTCCTTTTTCCCATCTTTTTTTCTCCAATGTCTGCTCCCTGCTTTGCAGATCTCTTGAAAGGTATGCTGTGATGTTTTCACCCATGCACTCCATAAAAGTCTAATCCAGCGTTCTAGTTTGAATCATCTACATGAGTTTAACCATGGTTCTCCAACTTCTTCCATTGTTGAAAAGTGAAACCATGATTTATGTTTATGGGTGTTACCAGAGTCAGTGCGCTCAGAATATGGGGTTGATTATAAACCGGCTATAATATAAATTAAAATGATGGGAAGAACAACTTGAAATAACCAAAACTGATACCAGAATTTCAGAGATTTATTGTCATATTTTATTTGACAAAATAATTAATTTATTTATATACGGTGGGGGGCGGGACTTAAAACGCGTACTGCAGCCCACCACTAGAGGGTGCTTGCTTTGTTTTTGATTCATTCTCCACACTACATTCTTTTGTTTATATATTTGATTGATTTGTTGCAGGAAAAAAAACATGTAGATGTGTAACAGCAACAAAAAAAAAAGCCAAGAAAAGATTTTTGTGAAGAATACCTACAAAGTCTACATTTACTAAAACATTTCAACTCTGCCCCCCTGTGCAAACTTGTCCCATGATGTGCTTAATGCTTAATTCTATAAATGCATGTTTTACATTCGACTTTTTTGTATTTATAGCTTTTGTATTTATTTATTTGCCAAGTTGCTTTAAAAGCCTAACCAGAGATAAGGTCGGCAAACTAGTTGTATTGGATTGACGTTCCTAAGCAACATTGTGTACATGTATAACAGTGTTTTATGTATCGTTCCTGTTTTCTGTGAAGCTCAAAGGTATTGCATATATTCTTTGCTGCCATCTCTGTGCTTTTATATGATCACCATCTGTAGTTATTTTGACTTGTTTTACCTCTTCTAGCGATCTGGAGGAGAAGCAAACAGCCAGCCAGCCATCACTGTGTGAGGACAACAAGATGTGCAGCGAGGACACGCTGAACTTTAACGGCAGCAGTGTCCTGACCACGGAGGTCAACATGGACGAATCTCTGGTCAGCCAGATCAGCCGTCCCAGCGTGGGTCCAGAGGGATTCCACAGCCTACCCGATAACTCCCCGCTAAACCCAGCCGCCAACGGCGTGCCCAATTCAGTCAACATCCTTAACTAACCCCACCCCCCCACCACACACTCATCCACCAGGGACCACCAGACCAAAATCTGTCAACACATTTGTGCCCATTCTCTCTCATTCCTTTCTGACTTGCAATTGATTATTTTGACATCCCAATGCACAGTCAAATATGGACTATTCTGACCCCCCTGTGCAGTCATGCGACCGATGCGACTATTGTGACCAAAGGAGCGTCCAAAGTAGTGGACCATGTGACACAATCCTGACCTGTATTCCCATCTGTTTCCATTTGTGTGGCTTACTCCATTTATTTAATACCATCTCAAATCATTCTTTGTTACAGACACATAGAGACAGAATGTCACACATGTGAGGCATCAGGGGTCATTGGTGAAGTCGTACAGCGATGCAAAGTAGTGCATTAAAGGTGTGGAACACTGAAAACATTTTAACTAATTATTTCTGATATAATCAGCCAATCTGAGTTTTTCATGCAGGCTGGACATGAAAATTGTCTCCTACACCTATCTCCTGCATTAGCTTCTGATAG